AAGAAGAAGAAGAAGAAGAAGAAGAAGAAGAAGAAGAAGAAGAAAGTTTGGGTCACTTACCTTCAACGGTGGACGACGGGGCGGGGCGATGACGATCCGAGGCCGGGGCGGATGTGAGAGGGGTGCAACGCAGTCGCAACCTCGTTCACTTTCAACGAAGTGTCAAAGTGATGGGTTGGAGGCTGGAGGCTGGAGGCTGAAGGCTGGAGGCTGGCTGGAGGCTGGAGACGGGGTGGCGGGGCCGATCGCTGGCGTCAGTTCGGCAAGTCGAACTTCGGGCGGTTTCCAGCCCGAATGCTCAAAAACTGCGGCCTATCTGGGACGCAGATCTCACGAGATCGACGGCCCAGATAGGCTGCCAGTTTTTCAGCTTTCTGGCGGGCCTACCGGGCCCGGTTTTAATTTTTTGGGGCCGGGAGGCCTCCACGACCCGCATGGAGGCCTCCAGGCCCCTAAAATTTTCAACCCCCCCCGCGATCCACTTGCGCGAAATGCCACCGGGGGGGAACCGGCACGGTCCACCGGCCGGTACTACCGGACCGGTTCCGGTGGGGGAAGGGGGCCCCGGTGTGACCGGAAGTTCAGCCCTGGTTTTTGTGCAGATTTTTTCAATTTTTTTTTTGCTGGGACCCACTTTGGCCCTTGCACGGCCGGGCCGCACGGGAAAACAAGGTCAATCGGGTGGCCCGGCTGGTAGTGATGGGTTACTAACTTACTACTAATATTACACAGTAGCTCTCTCTCTTTTTTTTCTTTTGGACAAAAGACAAAACAAACGGCGGCGTATGGTTCCAGTTTCTAGCAGAAGATTCATTCTAGGTTTGCACATTTGGTGAGTTGTGGAGTGAAGCCCTGAAACTCACATGCTGATTTACTAAGTTAACTGTAACCCATAACTGCTGAAACACGGACCTGAATTCGAAGCTACACCTTTTTCGCAGCCCCTCGTTTGTTATCCTCTTCTCCCTCTCTGCCCACGGCTTACCGGGCAGTTCTGTTTGACGATATATAGTTGGCCTGCTACTGCACTAGTATAAGTCCAACAACTACCCCTTTCTTGGAGAGGAAACCCTTGCTAATTTTTGGCAGGGGCCTTTCGGACTACCGGCAGGGGTTTTTGGAATAATGTGAAAGGCCTCTTTGCTCTCTCTCTCTCTCTCTCTCTCTCTCTCTCTCTCTCTCTCTCGCGCGCGCGCGCGCGCGTGCACGCGTGCGCCCGTGTATACACATATCACAGCCGTTTTTCTTTTTTCTTCCGATCATCAGCAATCAGCGCACCGCACCGCAGAGTGCACCGTACATATGCACTGCAAGTATGGTCTGGACTGCTCCGGACTGTCCGGATCGAACCCCATCCCTTCAAAAAAAAAAAAAAAACGTTTTTGTTTCTTTTTTCGTTTTTTTTCGTTGGATTTGGCTACAAATTTCGAGATGATCCTCAGCTGAAAGATTTTTGTATTCCAATGCTGCATAACGTATCTTTTTCTCAGTTTTTTTTTTCAGTGGGGGGGGAGGAAGGATGGACACTCTGGACCGGACGCCAGACTTGGACATCCACACCCAGACCATCCACATCCAGATCGTCACCATGGTGTGGACGTGTCCTCCGGGAGATTCGTTAAAATTGGAATGATACAGAGCAGATTAGCATGGCCCCTCCACAAGGATAAAAAAAAACAAAAACAAAAAAGAGGAGGGGCAGAAAAAAAAGAAAAAGAAAAGAAGCATGATGTGGAGATGGGTCCTTCCAGCCATCCGTTAAAATTGCAACGAGTGCGTTAGAGCTGCGGTAACGCTGTGCTAACGCGTCACCTCAGTGGCGGCGTTCGGGAGTTGGGGGCTCGCTAACGGGGCCGACGAAATCTGTCTGCTTCGACTGCCAAAACTTAGCGCTGGCGTGACCATGGCCGCGCAGGGAAGAACACTTGGGTGTTAGGGGGGCGTGCCGAGGGAGCCGTGACATGCTCCTGGTCATTGCTGGTCTCACTTGACTTCTGTCAGGGTTCCTAGTTCGATGGAGGAAGGAGAGAGTGATATGTGAGGGCCATCGGCGGGTGGGATCTGGACGCTGCACCATACCTGACGAGGCCGATCCGAGGTTATGCTCCTCGATCTTTGATATGGAGGTTTTTGCGGGGGTCTCCTGCCCTGACACCGTTGTCAGGGGTTAGCCTGTGAAGGTGAGGGAGACAGGAGCTACGGGAGATTGCCGCTGGACTTCTCATGTTCGCTGGGGCACGTGGGGATTTCGCTTACGATCTCCAGGAGAGCACATCGACTTCG